TTTTCTAAATGTGATTTAACTTTGTATGTAAGTATTTTTTGGTTATTCGAAAATAAATTTTCCGATTAACGAAATAATTTCTTGGAACGCATCTTATTCGTTAATCGAGGTATAATTGTATTTTGCTTAGTTATGAATCACAGATGATAGAGAACGACTCTATTTTTTTTCTATATTTTGTAATAATTTTATGTTTCATACTATTTTATGATGAATGGGGTGAAGACGTTACAGAGACACGTTATTATGATCTATAACAAATTTAATCGTAAAACTGTATACTTTTAATGATATGTCTTGAAAGCATTTTTACGACCATGAGTGCAGTATATTTACAAACATGTTTACTTTTATTTTATATTATTATTGTGTATTGCATTAAATTGGAAAATGTCTTCTTATAAATCTTAGTTATAGCAAACATTAACAAAAAAAAGACAAAAAATCGTATTGTAGACTAAGAGTAACTAAAAACAGTTGTGAATTAAGCTTAGATCTAATGGAGGCGTTTCTCAAACGCTTCAATTTTTTAACATCTTATTTTGGAAATGAGAAATTCTGCTTAGGAATATAAATTATGAAAATTGAAAACTAGGACATTTTCTGCTAGCAACACTTTTAAAAATTTGTCAAATGTTTGTCACAGTCTATAATTCTGTGTTAGGTTAGATTATTTTTAGTTGTGGATTTGTTATATTAAATGTAGTGCAGTGGTTTGCGAAGTTATATAGAATAACAACTATTATACTAACTCGTTTAGTATTCGAAATATGTTATAACTTTCTGTTAAATAATCAAATTCATGTTATTTAAACGAAATACTATAAATTTATGTAAAACAATTTTCTAAACTGCGCGTTGAATAACAATCGCAGATTTCGTAATAAATTTTGCATTATTATATGTGCACTATGATTTAATCAGCGAGGAAGATTATAAATAATGAATTAACATGTAAGAAGAAACAAAAAGAAACAAAAGAAGAAACCGATGAGACTTGTTTATAATAAATTCACTTTCTTTATTTCTATATGGACGCATTTGATTCTTTATTTATTTGTTTTGTTCTATCTCTGTGCAAAAGTCAAGATGCTTAGCTAAGTGAGAAAAGCATGTTTCTTCGGGAGCAAATGAAACGAAGGTGCGATACCAAAACAGGAATATAATATAATGTAACGATGATGATTGCAGCTGCCGTTTGTTTCTCCGCAATACTTTCTTCGCATTAAGGAGCATCGACATCGTTGTTTCACACCTTGCATGTCTCTGCTGTATAATTTTGTTTATGATAATATCACCTTGACAACGATACTAGTTTTATTCATAAATTTCATTTTCAACGGTAAATTCTTGCTGCAATTCCTATACTTCAACTTTCATTTTTATCTTATTGCATTTCTTACAAAAAAAAACAGAGTTAAAACGACGTAGAAATATTCAAAATAATTAAAAAAAGGATTTTAATTCTTATATTTTTTTATATTGAAAATATCTAAGTCAAATTAATTTTAATAAAACGTGCAATGGAAATCAAACTATAATAAGTAGAAAACATTGTACTACTTGTTATTTGTATTTTTAGTTTAAAGGTAAAAAAGTTTAAAAAATAGAAGTGTGTTAAATATTTATTACATGTAATATAAAATCATTATTTTAAAAATTAATTATTTCTTGTAAATTATATTTCTGGGTTTTATTATTAGTTTAATAAATATTAAAACAAGTGAAAAATAATATTAATTGCTTCAAAAAAAAAAATAACACCTCACTCAATAAGTTCGTAGGTGCTATCGATAAATCCATAATATAATAAATCCAACCTTGTCACAAGTCGATCAAAGCGAGGGCAAAAATGCACTAATTGTACTTTGAATTGCTTCCCCATCCTCCGTATTCTCCAGGTCTGGCTCCCAGCGAATCTGTTTGCAAACCTAAAAAGAATGCTCAAGGGAAACAGATTTGGTTCCAATGAAGAAGTGATGGCCGAAACTAAAGCGTATTTTGAGATAAATCGTTCTAAAAGAAAGGTATCGAAATGTTGGAATAAATGTATGAATAGACTCGAAAATTGTACAAAAGTTGTGATTTTATTAGTCACGAGTAAATACAAAAAAAAATGAAAAAAAAACGTCCGTTTATCGTTATTGTATTCCACTTTCCACTGCAATTATTGAATGAAAACAATGAAATTGATATATCTCATTCTCCCTGACGTGCAATTAAGTACAATTTTGTTCTGTGTAAAACGCGAAAGTGATTTGACTCGGTGTTTGCATTCGAAAATGACAAGCAATTATCTAATTTGAACGGGAGACAGAAAGTGAGAAAGAGACAGAAAATGATAGAGAAAGAAACCGACAGATTCTCGGCAACTTCTGCATAATCAGCAAATATAAAGGCGCCTCTGCGGATTCGAACTTCTTCCACAATGGGATGTAATGAACTAACGCAAGCGAAAATGTTAATGTGTATTCCTCGGAGAAACTTTCTATTCTATTCGACACTCGAAATAAACTGGCGTGAGGAAAAGTGGAAGAAACATTCGAAATGTTTAAATGAATTACAGCTAATTTAGTTGTTTGCGTGGAATTCGGTAATTGATAAGTGTATAATGGTGAATCCTTACTAGCTTTTTTTTTGTATTTGACAGTTGCCAACTAAACTATTCTAAATTAAGTCAATTAGTTTTGGTTGGTAGTAATTTATATTTACTGAAATGACAACTATTTTTCAATAAAACTGAAATAAAACATGAAACAAATATAAATACAAAATAACAAAAAACAAAAATATTTAGAATAAAATGATATTAACTGTAAATACTTAATAAATTTTGTAGTTATTTGTATATGCTATTGACACAATTGTATCATTTAGTATAATTATCCATTTTTCAAGTTTGGGTGTATCTGATATACATTCAACCGCAATTTGAGTTGTATATAATTGTGATTAATTACAAGCCTTTGGCTTATTGTTGCAATAGAACTCTTCCAATAATTAAGTCATAACCTGGAGCTTTTCTTCATATTAGATTGTCTTATATACAGTAACTATTTGAATTAGACGATCTATATGAACGAACGAAGATCCATTAATAATCATTATTTATTTAGTCATAGATGAGATTTCTTTATATGTATACAGCAAAACCTTTCATTATGCGGTTTTGAGAATTTAATTTTGTATACTTTATATTTGTATGTATAATATTTAATTCCTCGATTAGTCCGGTTTTTAGACAATACAATTAAAAAAACAAATATGAACTTTATATTAATACCATTTAAATGTAATGTAGAAATTATACAAGCATATTCAAACAAATAATTAATTGACTAGATGATACAGATTCTAATTTATGAAATAATTACTAAACATATGAAATAATGAATATAATATTTGTCTTGAAGAAACTTTCTTCTGATCGTAATTGTTTTCGTATGAGTGAACGGACGAGTGTGAGCGCATGAGTATGTATGAGTATGAAAAGTCGTTTTTTGTTTTGCTTACAATTAGGCATTGTAATAATATTAATAAGCACGTAGTCAAAAGTAAAAGTAGACAACATGCAAATTGCAAATTACGAAAAACAAACGCTGAAGAAATAATAATTGAAAAAAAGATGCATAGAAAAAGAGAGAGAAAAACGCACTCTGATTCAATTAGTAAATAAATCAGACGCATTTCATCAATTATTTATGTTATTTAAATCATCTTTAGTTGAAAAGAAAACATGAAAATGTTTGCGCTTTGTTGTAGGTCAGTTATTTAGTTGTTGTTTTAGTTCATTATTTTATTCATTGTAAACAATAGATTTTACTGGCAAGAATAATTATTAATAGTAAAGTCATGTCAACAAAACTAGATATAATTTAATTTCTCAAATAAATTTTAAATTGTAAGGTAATTTTCATATTAGTTATTATTAATAATAATATTAGTATACCTTAATTAAAAATGGTATATATTATTTTGTTCAGTGGAAAAATGAAATTATTGTTATTTTTTTTAGTTACTTTAGTAATTTATCAGGTATTGTTTTACAACTGTTGTATTATTTTAATTGATTTGATTAGTCAGTTTTGTTTATAATTTTCAATGTGATTTAAAATAATAAATAAATATTTGTTCCAAAATATCTGAAATTAAATTTTAGTTTACATTTAAATTTAATTATGTATGTAAAGTAATTTCATTTTATACTCTATAATTTTATGAGTATTTTGAGATAATTTGTAGATTTTTTTTTATATCTATATCTATATATCTGAGAATTTCAGGGTATAATAAGTGTTGCAACGATTCGTCAAAAAACCCGAGGATCGAACACTGGTGAATCAGAATCCGCTTTACGTAATAGGCCTACCTTGCGTAAAGATTGTAAGTGAAATTTGTTTGGGGTCCTTTTTAAGCAAACACACCAAATGTAAGCAGGAGAAAGTGTGTTCAAACAATCGCGAATTAAAAACAAAACACCATTGCTTGTTCCATTGCAAAAGAGTTTTCCATTCCATGTATATTGAGGAGGAAACTGAGTGCCGAGGGTGCTCAATTTTTTAATCCGCGCATAATGACAGGTTATAACATAACATGTGGAAAAAACCAAAACACGCCTAAGGAAGAGAATCGGAGGTCTCCCCAACATCAGCAGCAGCAGAACCGACGCTGGACGCGATGGGGAGTTCTCATATAGTGAAAGTGGTGAAAGTTAAACTCTCTAGAATGCGTTGCTTTGGATGTTCCAGTCGGCCTCTGGCGTCCAAGGCTGCATGTGAAGTGCTTCAAGTGAATCTCAGTAGTGTGTTTTGACAAAGAAAATCGAAACTGAAAATTGTGATGAACAAGAGCCTACGCATATACGAACATACACACCAGTTCTGTTAAGAAAGTGATGTGCTAAACAGTTGAAACGTTCTTCAGAGGAAAAAATTTTTACCGAGACGAGAGACGAAGAAAAACCCATCCCAAATACAAACAAAAATAAATGGAATAGAATCATGAACAAGATACACTCAGGAATATTAGCTATTGTTATGTCGATCTTCTTAATCCAAGCGACGGATCCGCCGACCGAGAAGACCGGCTCTCTCCTCGCTCAAGCCGAGATGAAGAGGTTGGCTTATCAAAGTTTGAGCAGCAGGAGGGTCGAGAAATTTGTACCGATTCAAGTAACAACCCCGACGCCTCCGGTGATTAACGATAATCAAGCGGAAACCGAGCAGATGAACTTTATAAGGAATTATCTGAGGCAGATGCAGAACGAGAGCGAAGCCGCGACAAATTACGCCGCAATCAACACCTTCCTGCAAAGAGAGGGAAAATCCGATTATGAGAAACTTTTGGAAAAGGAATTCGTTAGACCTTTACTGAAATTGTATGAAATGAACGAGACGAGTATACAGAAACCTATAAGACGAGATGATACTGTATCGGAAGTGAACGATAATGAACATATTGGGGAAATTTTACCACCAAATTTTGAACCCAATACGGAGAAAATCCATCTGCCATCGCCTCGGTTCGTTTTTCGCGCTCGAAAATCGTTTGATTACAGCGATGAAGGTTTCCGCCCTTCGACCGGGTACTCGCAAGAGTCTTTGGATTCGCCTAGGTACAGAAAACCTATCAGCTTTCCGGGTGATAGGTTCAGACCTGAATATGAGCCTGTCGATTATTCGGAATACGAAGCTCAAGCTTCTAGTGAGAATTATCAACGCGGTCCGCGATTCAATTTTCCTCCGAGTGAAGTCTTAGGGTACAGAATGCCTCGAAGACAGAGAGGTTTCAGGGATGTTTTCTTCCAAGGCGCCAGAGAGCCTCAGTACTTCGATCAAAGCACCCCTTGGGAAAGTCCTTGGGCTTCGACGGTAAACAGGAGGCCGCGTGTTATCTTCCCTTCGGATTTGGTAGCGTTCAGGGACACAACCAGCACACAAAAAGAACCCGATTTCCTTGCAGGAGATTCGGCGTTGCAGGATCTTCAGCAGCAAGATACACGGGATAGAGGTGCGTTCGTTTTCTGTTATATTCACAATCATATCAGAGCTTTTCATTTCATCTTTTCCATCGAAATGTTACCCGGGTGAAAATCATTTTATTTTGTATATTGATGATATTGGAATTAGGAGCGGAAGAGGTGTGCGCGGCGACTGCGACTTGCGAATTCTTCTTGAGTTGCTGGTTGTCCGGGGGGTTGTTGGAGAGCCCGTGCGAGGGATTACTTCGAGGGTGCTGTCATAGGGGCTCATCCAAAACTGGTCACAGCTACAGTCAGGCGATCGGTACCCTCGAGGCACCCCGTGAAACTGCCAAGGCACAAGCCGCCCTATTCGATGTAGATTCTCGTAAGTGGTACCGAACGCTTGGCTAAATTCTCCCTAAATATTACATTAATTCATTCAACAACATTAAACATACACAAACACACATAATTTGATAATTAAGGTTTCTGGTTTTCCATACGCACCCTCAATGGCACGCAATTTTTCAATCTGCATGAGTCGTCCGTCTTCGGACTTCACTTAACACACTTTGCACACAATACAAAAGTAGAACATAACAACAATAGATCGAACGTTCTATTGGATTTGATTGGTTTGGATTTTATTGAATTGGTGGTATTTGTTCTCTTCGCCTCGAAGAAAATGATGGTATATTTGATTAACAACAATTTTTGTAGGTTTAACTAATACAGAAAAAATATATAAAAAGAAAATTTAGTTTTTTATACTCGTTATATCTTGATTCATGTATTAAAAAACTAGTATACATAATAATAATTTATTTACAATATAAGAGTCAGCAATTATTCAGTAAATAAGTTTATTTAATGTTTGAACAAATGTCAAATTTTATATCAATTTTTTGAAAAGAAACAGATCTCTGTCAAGTATATATTTGTACATTAATTCGTACATAAAAATGATGAATACTAAATGAGGTCATAATTTGGGCTATCAACTTAATCAAACAGTTATTAACTTAATTAATTTTTATTTAGAAAAAAATATAAAAATTATTATTCCATAATTTTATAATATTATAAAAATGTAATTGAAATATAAATATTGGTTTCATATATTTTTTAGCAGGTATGAAAATACTTTCACATAAATGATTATTGCTTCTACATTCTACAATTTGAAAATTGGACAACCAAAATTATATATTATAGTCGAAAAGTTAATAATATATCGAAGAATCATCATTATGTATTTCACTATTTGAGGTTTTCATAAAAATCATAACAAATTTGTGTTTTGAGTAACTAAAGTGTTTCAAATAAGAAAGTAAAAAGAATAAATATTTATTTATTATAAAATGTTACAATCAATTTTTCTTAATACAATGTTTATTTGTTTGAAATTTTATCCAATTATTTAGTAACTATAACAATAACAGATGAATTAACATGTATGTAGAAAAAGCAGAAAGTAAAAAAAGTGTTTTAAAAATATAAGTTTATAAATAGTTTTTTTTTGTTAGAAACAAAATTTATATAAGAATGTAATTAGTTATCATAATACAAATACAATGTACATTTGTTTCATGATAGAAAAACTTGAAAAAAAAAATGGTTTTATTGAAGTAGACAATACACATTTTATTTATACAGTTGTATAAATGTGTGTCTGTCTGTGTATTGTTGTATTCTTTTTTTCCATTCGTGCAGGATTTGTTCGTCTCGGTGGGCGAAGAAATAATTAAACCGTGAAATATGTAGGATAATTGAAAACAAAAAGTTCTATGGAGCAGTCGGTGGAAGTGAGATGGATGCAATTGTTGAAAGCGAGAAGAAGAGAGAGGAAGAAAGAAAGAGAAAAAAATGAACCAAAGGCATTTAGCGAAAGCTGTATTTCAGGGTTAAGTTCAGTGACATGTAATCTCGAGGATTGTAAAGCATAACTATCCCGTGGATAGTAAAGAGTGCTCGACTTTCTCCGATTTTTATCACACAGCAATACAAGTAAATCCATAACTAAATGAAATTCGTAAAACAAGACGAAGGATCTCAACGAACTCGATGTACAATTAATATTTGTGATTATTAGTTTGATAAATGTTTGTATTTACGATTTCTCATTTTGCTAGTGAAAGTGATTATTACCAATAATCGACTCTTTAGTGTTAGTTTCAAATGTACATAACGGACATTGGTTTCCGGACAAATTTAGTTTCTAATTCAATTACATTTTTTTATAAATTGAAAATATTGAAATTTAATAGAATTAAATATTTTTTTGATAATAAAATATGTTTTTATTACATTCAAATCATGGTTATCTAATAACAAAGTAACATACTTTTTCGAGTATAATGCTGCAAAGTGGGCGCTGCAGAGATCCCGGGGGGCGGTGATGGCCACAGGTGAATTTGGAAACGATGAACAATTGTTTAATTGCCAATAAAATTTAAAAAAAATTTTTAGAGATTTACTTGGGAAATAAATTATAATTTTGTCTAATTAATGGGATATTTTTATCTTCTAATTTGTATCATTAAATAAGTAACATTATGTATGAAATAAATTTACATGAGATTTTGGAAATACTACAATTTCAAATATAATATTCCATTAACAGATTTCGCATATGAATGAAATTTTTGTGCCAGATACAAATATAATAAAACTATCAAAAATTTTCATGATACAAAATATCTACTTTCTCTTTTTCCATTGATTATATTCTTATTTGTTTTTGAATTATTTGTTACTTTCCACTGTTTTTAAGACTAAAATTTAAAATTTCACTTTAGTAAACTTATTTCTTAATTTTATGTAAAAAATAACTAATTTTATAGATTTGTTTTTAATTGAATGAATCAAATTTTATAACAATATTATTATTTATAATTTATTTTTAATTATATAATGATAAATATGTGATATTATATTTAGTATTATTTTTTTTAAATTTCTTACATTAATTTTCGTATTTAATTTATTCTCATAATTTTATAATATTTTGTTTAGAACATTAAGAAATATTAAAATTTCACCTTTTTTCCTTATGCAATTTTTATGTTTTGATTTTGTTCTTTTTTGAAGATTTTTTTGCTAGTTTCGTTCTAAAACTTGATACATAGAATTATTTTACTAATAAATTATTTGTCGTTAGTTAAATCTACATTTTTTATACAATATTTTTTTTTGCATTTCTCTAAAAAATATTCAATATCTTTCTAGATTTTGTATGAAAGTAAATTAATTTCAAAAGAATAAACTTAATACTTTCCTACTTAGTACAAATTACAACTTTAAATCATTGTAAACTGTAAGAATATAAATATTTTGTTTTTTATGCAAATGTATCATTAGATTAATTTATTCAAAATTATCTATTAATATTTATGAAATTCATAAAATAATAACTTGTAATATCGACAATAATGCGTGATATGTATGTCATGTACAAAAAGTGTCATGTTTATTTCAGTAATTACTAAATTATTGTTAATAACTTGTTTACTTTAAAAGACACCTGTTCACTTTTTACTATCTTTCATATACATATTTGCAGATAATGAAACATTAATATTAATGTTGTTAAAGTGATATGTTTTCAATTTCTATTAGCGTGTGTGTAAACAATTAATGATATTTGATTAGAGTAAAAATTAGTAATTGTTCGCGTGTAAAGAAGAGTTGGTAAGAGGAGCGAGCAACGAGTGGAAAGTGAAATCATTAAAATTTAAACGCGTTCGTTGTAATAGTACGAGTTGGAAAATAGTAAAACCCGTGTGGACGAAAGTGAAATCCAAACTGGAATTATATAAATTTAATTGATTTAATTCAATCTGATGTCGATGCAATTCTAATTGCGCTCGTAACTCCTCTTTTTCGAATCAAGCAAATACGTGTCAAGGACATCCTTATTTATATACACTTAGTTCTAATGGTTTTAGGAAATCCGCAATCAATAATAATAGAACTACATTGTTATTAATTTTACTTTTTAAAAATATTGTATAAATACATTAATAAAAAGTAATATTTCTGCATTGGTTAGTATTTGCTCAATTTATTAATATAATAATAGTTATGTTAAACAATGACAAAATTATAATATCTCGCATAGTGCGGAATTTATTTTTATTTTGCTTAATTAACATTTAATTTGTCTTAAAATTTTCAATAGTGAATCGGTATCGATGTATAGTTTTATGTAGAATTTTATTAAAAAATGTTTAATCAAAATTTTAATAAATTCTACATTAAAATAGGAACAGTATCTCAGTTATCGTTACGACTATAGACATAGTTCATTTAAAAATTAGGAACTGTCCTTAATTTTATTTATTTACAATATTTTAGTTAATAAATGTCTTTAATACACTGAGTGAAATCTTTCATAAGCTACCTATACTTCAAGAACATTTTTAATTTACATATGAGGGCGACTAATAGCCGAATGGTTAAGTCGCCCTACCAACGCTAGTGGGCGCAGGTTCAAATCCTGGTCAAGCCAGGCCCCTTCTGAGCCCTCTCAGTACTTGCAGCAAGTACAGATGGACACATGAATGAGATTCTGCATATTGACCTTCAGCCAAGTCGATGGACAATGATAGTGTTAAGGTTAACAGCAGATATACAGTGAAATAAAATAGTGGAATCGCAGAGAATCAATATACTACTGAAGTTAAGATTACCTGCCTAATGTCAACCGCAATCTTAAATTTAATCATTATTCACATTGATGAACAGATTGTGAATAAAATTACATTACATAATTTTTTTTTACATATATTTTTAAAACTTTGATATATAATTTAAAAAAACAGAAATAAATAAAAAAACAGTCTTGTTATATTTTTGACAACTTATGTCAGAATCATATTTAAGATATATTAATATAAAGTGGCTATATAGTTGGTGTCAGATGACAACAATGACATTTATATTTTTAAGACCCTATTTAAGGGTTCTATAGTATAAAATGTAATATAGACTAGCGTTTTTCAACTTATGGGTCGTGAAATGACACCTGTCATCATTTATACAAGATCACTCGACGAGACATTCTGGGTGACGCGTCAAAAAACATTATAATGTTCATCACATATGAAATTTGTTCTCATCATCTATGTATCTAACTTTAATATAAAATTTAAAAAAAAGAACGGAAAATAAATCATGAATTGACATGACAGTCTTGTTTTGTATTTGATATTTTATATCAGTATTATATTTCAGATAAAGCAATATAAAGTGCCAGATGATAATGTTCATCATATATGAAATATTATAAGTTAAACCTCGCATAATCATGTATGTATTCAAGTCACTAGGTGCCTTGGACCTACGTTTTTGTTCTAAATTTTAATACTCCGATCCCACAAGGTTCACCATCACTGGTATATACCATGATTTTTCTAAATTCTGTCTGAGTTTTGAACTCACCGCTTTTGTATCAGATTGTATAAGTCCATATAAAACAAACATATTGTAAGTGGAATTATCTGTATCCATTTGATGTCAGAATTTAAAAAAGTATTTGAGAATTATCAGAAATAAATAGTTGAAAGAAATGCATAAAGTGATAAAAAAATACAACTCGGTTTAGTCCGCTTCATTGTAGATAGTACAAGTTTGCAAAACTGAGTTAACGGTTGTAAAGATGCCTCCAAAAAAGAAGCAAAGTAAATCTTCGAAGCGTAAACCAAAACCCAGATATACCGGCAATAGAGATCGTGAGGAGGATAATGAATCAACAAGATCCTCCAACTCAGAATTATCCATCCCAGAATTTTCCATCCCAGATTTCACCTTACCCGTACGAAAACCGGCGAAAATAGATGTCCCAGATCTTCAGTTGTTATCAAAAAACAGGTATCAAGAATTTGATTTAAGACAACACCTGATAAGGGCTGTAATCCAATATGGAATGAACACGCCGTGGATATTAAAACGCAAACAAATTCTCTCCAGGCACAGTTACCAGTTCGAAGATAAACTAAACACGCGGGACGACAGAGCAACTTTTTATTGCAGACTGATGTGGCTTCATCTTTACCAAAATAATTTTCAAACGCAAGTAATCGTCATGACTCCCACAAGAAAATTAGCCAAATATCTATACGATATTTTCCAAGAGATCTTGTTTAATTCGAACATTATAACTGTGAGGTTGTGCACCGGAGAGACGAATTTAGTAACTCAACTCGAGAATTTCCACACGTGCTGCATTGCAATTGGTACACCGGATCGAATCTTTGATTTGATTAGTTGCAGAGTTCTCTGGTTAAATAATCTGAAGATCTTTCTTTACGATGAAGATGAGAATAATATAAGTACCAGTTTTAAACACAAGATCGATCTTTGTTTGGAAACGGTCAGCAGCGACGTTAGACACTTTAAATAAAATCAAGTGATGAAATAGTTGTACTGCAAATTCTTTATTTTGTTAATATTTATAGTTCATTTCATCTTTTTTTGGTTAAACGAATCTTCGAATTTTATTTAAAATCATGTGATTTTAATTATAACTCGATTTGAGACATAAGTTTTGTATTATTTTTTGTTATTTATTCTCATACATGTTTCTCATTATTGAAAATTATTATTAAAAATGGATTTAATATAATATTTTATAAATTATCAAAAACAATAATACAAGCATATCTTATTGGACCTTTATTGATATCCTGAATCTACATAAAATATTTATAGCGCGTTATATTAATTTTTTTATAAGAATGATAAACGAAAAAATGATTACTTTAATAATTTATTACAATAAACTAATTACGCAAGAATAGCTAAATGATGTATAATATTCAAACAAAATTATATAAACAAAAAATATTATTTTTCATTTACGTTATAAATCAAATATTTCTCCTGATAATTATTTAGATGCATCAATAATTACAATAGCTGGATTTCGGACTAAATTGGACTAAAAATGTATAATATTTTATGAACATAATTATTGTAAGTTGCTGCATTAATATAATATTTAATACGTTTAATACGAGTTAACATCAAATATTTCTATCAATAATTTTCATTTTATATAAATCAATTATTAATTATATTATTTATATTAAGATATGTATGATATTGAATTTGTTGTTAATATTTTACAGGTTGTGGAATATCAACGGGGCAACAAGCACAACGAAGAATTGTCGGAGGAGACGAAGCTGGATTTGGTAGTTTTCCTTGGCAAGCTTACATAAGAATAGGTTCATCAAGGTAAGTCAATTTCGAACCAAATAAATACCAATATCTTGTATATAAAATGAAAAAAAAAACTAGTGTAATAATCTAAATATGTCTTCTATACATTGAAAATAAATTGAAATTTTACTGCAACCAACTTAAAACTGTTATAACTTTCGAAACGCTGGGAATGCTGTATTTTAACATAATTTTTCAATTATGAATATCTTTAAGAAATTCATTTTCATAACATATCATTTCTAAAAAAGAAAAAAATAGTTATATTGTGTTGAAGGGATAATTAAAAATAAACTTGTTTTTGTATTTTTAACTTTGGCAACAATTTTTACCTCATTGAATTGACGCCAAGAAGGGTAAAATCTTAGTTTGAGGCTAGAGGAGGTATTATTAAGTATTAGTTCGTAATATTTGGTTCTAATTTTTAAAAAACAAAGACAAATAAAAAGAATAGGGGTCGCATGAGGTTCTTTTGATAAGAAATTGCAGCCTTAGCACTCCACGTAAGTTAGCGTTTTTTTTAAATTATTTTTTATCAAAGAAAACAGAAAAACAAAATAGCAAGCATGGAGCGGAACGATTTCCCATCGCAAATCTTCCTATTAAGTTAGCATTAGCGAAGATTAATTTCTCAAGTAATACTACTTATCGTGCGGCTCCCTAGACTTTTTTTAACAGGCAATATCTGCAAAACAACTCTTTGCTCCAAAAAAGTTGTCGGTTTCTGTTTATTATGACATAACTTTATCTATTAAACATAATAAAACATGTTGTGTTCAATGATTAGCTGAGAAGAAAACTTTACTAGAGCAGTAGTACTTCTACTTTATTTAAAAAATTATATATTTAGCAAAATGACTACTATTAAGTTTTAAATATCATCAATCTCAATATAAAAGTAGTTGCATATATTTCAATTTTAGTCACAAACTATACTCAATTTTTATTAAATAAGTTTTATGAACAAATATATGGTTTATGTATTCCATGCATATAGGAACTCATATTAGCAGTGTGATTTAGTTTCAACTGAGATACGTACAAAGTTTGCTTTATTTACACACAGACTTTGCACTTTATGCAAAGCTGACAAAGTAAGGGATGTTTCACTCCCGCTAGAAATAAATTTCTCGGTGAACTGGAACAAAAAAAAGCATGTTTATTACATTATAAAAGACACTTTATATTAATGTTTTTAAATACATTTTTAACGCTGTTCAAGTATTTTTTTAATGGATAAAGGATACATTAATATTCATTTTAAGTTGTTGAAAGTTGTTACAGGATATTCTTAATTACAATATGAAATGAAATCATTTTAATTTCAATACGTTTTACAAATTCTTTTAGTAATTGAGAAATTGTATAGAAAATGTGTAAATTATATTTATTGTCCAGATCAAAAGTAAGTTATAATTAATAGAACTTATTAACAAAAATATTATATTATTTTAAAAGTCAACTGATACAAAGGGCTATTGATTTGTAATTATTTGTGTAGTTTTATATAGAAAAAAATAAACATATATTAATATTTAAAATAAACTAATAAGATTACGTTCTTTAATTATTCAAATATTGCATTTGGAAATAATAGGATTTATCAATATAAGTAGATTAAATTAAATAAAAAAGTGGAACAAAGCATGAATAAAAGATTGATGTTAAATAACCGCAATTAAATATAGCGTACAAAGCCGATACTAAACGGATTACTGTATACGGATTATTGGATTTGCAGTATCCGTGCTTTGTAAAGAATGGAACATGGGCATTTACATTTAAATCTGCAAGAGTATTAATTGACACAATCCTAATCTATACAAGTATTTGTTACTAAAAATCAACTGTATATTAAACAAATCAATTTATTTTATTATAAGAAGATAATATTGATAGTAATACAAAATAGAAATTTTTAAGAATAATTTACAATGTCTCACACGTTTTTTATTGAGACATTAGAAAACAGTATATAAATAATTTAAGAATCTGAATTATTATTAAATTTTTGAAATAATTTAACTGCATATTAACAATTTAACAAATATATTAAATTAATTATAAAAATAAACAATTTAAAATTTATTTATTTATTAGAAATAATACATAAACTGCAAATAATTGCAATTATTATATAATTTTATAGACTAATGATTTTCTTTCTGACATTTTATGTGTATTGAAAATAAGTTAACAATTATGTATATCATCAAAGAGTTATAAGTTGAATAATTTCATTTCAAAATATAGAAAGTGTCTGAGGATGAATCTACAAAACCGTAGAAGCGTGCTAAAAACAATTGCTTGTACAAAAAAAAAGAAACTTCAATTTGGATATATACACAACACAGATTACATGTATTTTTTTTATACAAATGAAACAAGGCTATATTTATTGTCATAACGTTCATATTGTTAAATTAATTTCTCAAATTTTGAAAATCCTGTAACAATTTAATTATTTATTTATATAAGAGTTTTTACAAAGTTTTATGATTTTTGATTCATTATTAAAAATAATTAAAAAAAAATATACAATTTCAGATGATTTGTAATAGTAATGAAATTTATTACTATTACAAATTAATTAATGAGTTATGACTCCCAATGATCTCATAAATATTTTTGTAAAAATTAACAATTTCCTCTATCGCTAAAAATACAAAAGATTTAGTTAATCTGAGGAAATTAATGATAAAACTTCTCCATTTACTAGTGAATTTTTATAGCTTTTTTTAGCAAATGCAATAATTTTATCCCATAAACTTATGAAAGATGTAAAAAAAAGATAAAAAAGAACAAATACACGTAATATACAACTTATATACCAGTTGTAGTCTCATAATTAAAACGAATATTTCTTCAATTTATGACACAATCTTCACAAAAAAGCGCACTGGTCTATATGATTATTCTGTTGATGTTCTTTTTTTTTTAGTAATTTAATTAAAATATCAAATGTTTAATATAAATGTACATTTTCTCGAAAACTTTTATTCCCGAGAATCGAGACATAAATAAAAAACGGTTGGAAATACCTATGGTCAATAGCCCATTGTTTTCTTTTATTATGATTTTGTATATAAGCATTAATTTCTTAATTGTTTATTTTTTTTTATCTTTTAATTTCATACAAATTCAAATTTTTGTGTATGTAAATAGTACAGTAAAATAATGTCATATAATTTGCTAATAGAGTTGTATTTCCTTATTTATAACAATGGAAATTAACATATACTTGAGAAACTACACATGTACTAGAAGCTACTTACTCCAACGATTATTTTACGATTATGCTGTTATATTTGCTCAAAAAAAAAGACGCGGTTTGTCTAAGAAAGATATTACTATTGAGTTGCAGGTTTTTTTCGTTGGAACCATTTTACTGAAGCATTGAGCCATTAAGCCAATTAAAGGTCTCGTGACTGATCCATTGTAGTCGATCTCACGACTTCGGTTAACGTACAAAATGTTTGTAGAAAACGATTAGTGTGCGAGGAATTTCACGATTTACGCAATTAGCGGCTTACTAACGATTGTATGCAAATGAAATAATCAATTATTATGCGCATCTACAGTCAACACAATACCATAAAGCCGCTATTGCATTTTAACGACTTTCTTTCACTTAAGCATTGTCTCATCGTATTACCAATTAATTAAATATTCTCTTATCGAAAACGTGCTTTCTTTACATCTTATTTATTTATTCCTATAATAAATAATATTATACATCCTTTCTACAAATACCTCGGATAGTGCGGGTAATACTTTTGAAAGCGGACTAAACGAGGAGTTTAAAACCGAATAAAAAACTTGACTGACACATGTATGTATTATTTTGACAATTAAAATTGAGTTTGTTTTGAAATTTTTAAACCGGACTATAGTGAATCCGGACTGATCGAAGCAGCACTATGCAAGGTTGATTTATTGATGGTTCTATTTAAATAATGATACGGAGAAAATCTTAAATATCGAAATCATATGATTTAACACAGTCAAATAGAAAAATATCTATGTTTGAGGTAAACACATACTTTCTTTCGCCATAACATAAAGAATACCATTACGTGAATGTCATTGATCCTACGCACATGCACACATACTCACTTTCTAGTTCTTAAGTTTGTACATCAACTTCCTTTTTTTGCACGAAACAATACCATAAATTATAGTCGAAATTAGAGAAGTAAGAGGAAAAAAAACTATATAATGGAAAACGACAAAGACATTTATGTCCTGGAAGTGAAGCGGAACTGATGATATAGGTGTGTAGAGGATATTGGAAGTATCCGATAACGTTCTTTGGAATTTACATAATTATGTAACATCGTAGAATGCATAACGTAGATATTATTTAAAATATAGGTTTATTTCCTTCTTCGGATAGGAAATGATGTAGGAAATTGTTCGAAAAGTAAATTATAAAGCAAGAATTTTATAATTAGTATTTCTGGTTTAATGGAATTGATAGAAATGGAGAGTAATATGTATTGTATATATTTTCAATTATTAAGTATAATAAAAATTTACAAATTAAAGCTTTTTCTTATAATTTCAAGGGAAGTAATAAACGTAAGAATTAAATTAATTATAATATTATTTTCATTAAACCTGTGGAATATAAATAATTCGATTATAAATAAATACTCACATTGACTACTGAATTATATTAGATATTGTATTATATAATTTAGTATACAACGTATTAATATTGCAGGTGATCTTAAAGAAACAAAATATGAACAGAATTCTACATAAAATAATATATTATATATAGTCAATTTTCAATTGTTATAAGTTTTATACAATAATATTACTAGTATCATAATTATTGTAAGTCTGAATATTTAGTACCGAAAAGTTATGCTTGCAACACTTGAAAAGATTCCTTGGATTCAAAACAGTCTTCTCTAGATTAGTACTAATTAATAGACAGATAAAATGGTAATTGTAGTAAAATTAGGATTACCTTTGGAATTTCTTATAATATAAATTAACATATTCTC